AAATGTTCTTATACAAATGGTAAGTGCAAATTCCACGAGAAGCCAATGGATACACATTATCAATTGCTTTCCCTATTGACTTATGTCTGTCCGAGATTATCGCAAGATCCTTATCGCCAGGAATAACAATTTTGAGTTGCAACGCTAAGAATCATCATTTTCAGTGTCAACAACACCGAAAGCTATTGGGAAAATTTGAAAATTACCATCCTGAGCTAGGGCTGTTAGAAGCGTCCCTTTGTAACTACCATGGAGAAACGTACCGTCGACAACAACAACTTTGCGCAATGAAAGGAAACCCAGCAACACTCGCACCAAAAGCAATGAACACATATTTGAATCTTCCACACTCATCAATTTGAAGACGTGTGACTGTACCCGGATTTGCCCGTCTTATCATATATAGATAAGAAGGCAATTCTTGAAAGCTACTCTTAGGAGTCCCCAGTTCGATCTGCCTTGCAAACCTTAGCGTCCTATGTGACTTCCAATAATCCATCTGTTGACACCAACATATTAATAAATCAGCCGAAATGAGAATAAACTAACCGTATCGTAATTATAAGTCAGCCATAATATTTCTATAACTCAGCTGTAAACAACCTACAATTCAGCCGTAAATAACCCATAAGTCAGCCAGAATGTATTAATAAATCAGCCGAAATGAGAATAACCCAACCATAACGTAATGATAAGTCAGCCGTCAACAACCTATAAGTCAGCCGGAGTGTATTAATAAATTATCCGAAATGAGAATAACCCAGCCGTAACGTAATGACATTTCAGCCATAATATATCAATAAGTCAGCCATAAAACAATGTATAAGTCAGCCACAAATAATCTATTACCTTTATACTAAAATGCTTATTGATAATTATTCTGACACTGCGAGGTTTAACGGACGGACCAACATCACCAAGAAAGTCCCTGTAAAGAGCTCCCAAAATATCAGGTGTTGCTTGTCGGGATCGATTAGAACGTTCGGTCACAGAACATGTGTGTTCCGAATCGTATATACGAACATAAAAATACGGCTCATCCCCTTGTTTAGATGCACGAACTCTCCAACGACATCCATCCACCCAACACTTAATAATCACTGTACTCGGATTTGATACTTGTACATCAAAATCAAATCCATCCCTTACCGAAAGAAGTTTCAGTCGTTTCTCCAACTTGTCTTTGCTCCCGTATCGTTGTCCTACAGCGAGGTTTAGCGAAGACATCTCCAACCTTAAAGCCTACGAGTTCCCAATCGATCCGGTCATTTCAATGTTTTGAGGTCTCTTCTTAGGAGGCAGAGTCGGTGAATCTTCGTCTTTATTCTGAGGCTCGTCGTATACAGTAAAGTTCTCATCATCAGATGACGCACCATCGGAGTCATGGAAAACATCAAATCGGCTTGAAAATTTATCATCTTCTTCTTCGTCATCTGCTTCTTCGACATCTTCATCGTCTTCTTCGTCTTGGTTTTTACTATAATCATAACAGAAACCATCAAATCCCTCACCGTAATCTTCGTATCTAGATTCTACTTTGGAGTCAGAACTGATTGGCCGTTTCATCCTTTGTCTCGATCCATCCTTCCGACTAATTTCGCGACTCTTTCTCCGTAAACTCCACACAGAGACGTAGCTGATCGATTTTCTATAGGCTTAGAAAACATTGCAACTGTCGATCATTAGAGACATAAACTGGTGGAGTATCATGCGACATATTTTTCATAGTCTTGTTCGAGAACATGTAGCTCAGCTTTACCTGATGGCTCAACTCCTTCAATCCGTAGTCATCGAGAACCAACTTCACAAGCTTGTCGTGCGTTGTTTCCATATCTATCTGCACAACTCTACACCCTCTATCGTCGGTGTTAAATACATATTTGTGTTTCTTTACCCAATTACCAGAAACAGCAATTACCGAAACCGGATCCATAATATATTGGAGAAGGGTGAACGAAAATGAAGAAGAATGAGGAAGACAATGACAAATTGAATGTTCAAAATTTAAGTTCTGTATATCTCTGTTACTGTGAAGAACTAGGTGAGGAACAACGACGACGAGAAAGACAATGACAACGACGAGGAAAATGAAGATGATGTTTCGTATTTCTTTGTTGATGATGACATGGAAATATGCATCCGACGTCATTTTTGAGTTGATGAAGTGGCAAGTAAGCAAACAAAACTTTAACTCAGTCGTAACATGAATACTATTACAGTAATTAAAAAATGAAAAAACGGCTGCCAAATTTAGCCGTTTAATGTCGTAACTAAACTAAAAATCTTTTGCTCAGCCGTATCATTTAATAAGTCAGTCGTCAAAGCATGCTATTGTGGTAATTAATCTTTCGCTACTAAATCAGCCGTAATTAGGCCGAGTTTTTCATTAACCCAGCTCATTACGGCTGATTTACGACACTTACACAAAAATCAGCCGTAACGAAGCAATAACTCAGCCAGCCGGAGAAAGTTAATTCAGCCGTGTCGAAATAATAACTCAGCCAAATTTTGACAAATCAACCATCGGGCTATAACTCAGCCGTAACTTATGGCTGGGTTATGCTCGTAAGTCAGCCGTTTTCTCATAACTCAGATAGATCTCGTTAAGTCAGCCGAAACACCAGGCTGGATTATACATGTAAATCAGCCGTTAGCTCATAACTCAGCCGTTTTTCTTAAATCAGCTGTAACATACCGTAACTCAGCCGTCATTGCCGCTGTAGCACTTTACGGCTGAGTTCATAAATACACGTCCGTGATTTCTGACGTGGCGGCGCATTTTTTCTGATGTGGAATTAAAAAATAATGGCATTCTTTGTAATTACGTTTTTTTCTATAACATGTAACAAGAACATGCTGAGTATAGAAAATATAGGCGAAATATGATAGTAATAAAAAAAGGTTTTGTATGTAACTAGTCATATCACCTAATTTGTATGATATCTGAGTAACTCCTCCCAAAATAGTATTATGAGTATTGGGATTATGTTTGGAGAATTCTAGGCGAGTTTCTTCACCGACTCAATTTCATCTTACCAACTCAAAAATCAGGTGTTTAATCTACCGTTTTTTTTACGGTTTTGCTCTTCCGGATTTTTTACCGGACATTTGATTCCTCTCCTCTTCAGTTTGGAAACATTGCATCATGGAAAATGTTTGGGAAGCTCTGCAAAATCTTAGTCTTGGGGATGAAATCAGAATAGCACAACCAATCTCGGATGTTGCTCGCAGAGTCCGGTCAGATGCTAATCGTTTTAGCCTAGTTGCCATTGCCCTCAATACGGCTCATCAAAAACCTTTGGATCTCAAGATTTTTCTCTCTAAAGCCTGGAAAAGGGAAGGTAAACTTACCAGTCGAATTAACAATGATTGTACATTCCAATTCTATTTCAAAGCTGAACATCATCTCATGAATGTCTTGGAGCATGGCCCATGGCATTGTAATAATTGGATGGTTGCCATTGACCATTGGACTCGACTGCATGAACCCGATTTTCTTCTCCACATCTCTTTTTGGGTTAAAATCATGCATATTCCAGAAGATTTCCATTCTGATGTGATGTAGGATTGGAAATGGAACAAAACTACTCTTTAGAATCTGATCTTCAAGCTGAATGTGGTGGATGAATGACTTGTGGTTTTTGAGTCAATGATGCTTGATGACCCCAAACACCAAAGGTTATACTCTTCTAACTTCAAGGGCTAATCCATGCAAGAGGTTAGGAGACTCTACACGTTCTTACAAGCTTCTGAATCCCTCAAAAAACTTAGTACAAAACGCAGGAACACTTTGAATGCAAAGAACTTTTCTTTGAAAACAAATAACTTTGATTAATTTCTTGAATATTCTGAATTGAAAGTAAAATACTTAGGAGCATTATATAGAGCTCAAATGGTGTAAATAAAACGGTAACAAGTATTAAAAATAAAGCAAAGATCAAGCTAAAAATGATGGTCTTTATTTGGTCTTGGTGCTGGATGGGGAGGGATGGCTTGATTTATGGGACTAATCTGTGGTATTTAGTGAGGCTTGGACGTTCAGGATCTTCAGTATAGAATGTAGGGATGAGATTAATCCGTGGCTGATCTCCTTGGTCCAACTTTCCCATAGAAATGAGATAATTATCTCTAAGTATAGAAAGTGGCTTCATGGCTGATTCTCCTTGGTTTTGACTCGGTTTAGGACGGCTGTTGGGCTGATTTTCTTAAAATGTCTCTTGGTGGTCGAATGTAATGGTGGGGCGAATATAATGTCATGAGTTCCCTCCTTTCCTTAGATAACTCCAATTTTGCTCTATTTGATGGTTTGAGGTGGTTTGGCGGTTCTGGCTTGATTTGAGTGGGGTAACTCCGGTTTATAGCTTCTATATCTTCATTATACTCCAAAGGTTGGATGAATGATATGCTGGTAAGTGTAGTTTCCATAGATGACTCCTTAAATACGCATGTTGGTCCTTTTAAGAGCTTTGGCGGTTTAAATAGATTGTCTTGCTTCTTGAATTGAACCAGCTCACCCTTAGAATGATTAAACTAGTCCTCTTGATGGTTAGAACGAATCAGCTGGTTCTCTTGATTCTTAAAACTTTGGCGTTTCAAGGCAATATCTCCATTGCTTTCAGCTACAAGTTCTCTAATCCTCTCAGCTACAAGCAAGCTTGGCTCCAGTTTGGTATTTGAATGTCCTCCAATGTCTAAGGGAAATTGAGTGGTACTGATGCTTACATCATGATGAAATTATCCATGAAGTTGGCGATATCTTGGGTACTATTGATGAGATTAAAACCACTGAAGCTACTGCTGATGCGGATAGTGAAGTCTGGATACATGTGCATATGAATGCTAATGATCGTCTTATTTTTATTCGTTATTTGGAGTTTGAACCGGGTCACACTGCAATGATTCGCTTCATCTATCGGAAGTTGAAAAAATCTTTTTCCGATGTGGTGCTCTTACCCATAGTGATGCTGTTTGTCAATATGAGGGAGATGTTTATTACCAAGGGCGCATCGAAAAAGGCCAGTCTGATGTCTCAATGACACAACAACAACTTCCTCAGCAAAGGAACACTCTTCCTGAGGTGGGACCCTCTCGACAACACCGTTCTTTGAATCCTGATCTTTCAATGGAAGAGTTTCCCGGTTCTCCGTCTCATTCGATTGGTACAATTGCTCCAGTTCAGTTTCCTGCAGCTGTTACTGAAGCAGTACCTACACATTCAGTGAATGTTGGTTGTGATGATACGATGGATGAAAATGTTGAGTCTAACATTAACATTGAGGAGTTGTTACCGAATCATGAGTTAGTTGGTGTTGATTTCCAGTTTCGAGTTCATCAAGACCTTCTCTGCCATGTTCTCCTCCGTTTCATAATGTTGATGCTCTTTGGGGAACTAAGCGTAAGGCTTTGAAGCTGGATACAGATGATGAGGCGTCTACAACTAGGCAAAAGCAAGGCTCTCGTGTTAAGGACACGACTGTTGATCAAGGGGAGGTGGCAACCCCGAAGCCTCCAGAGCATCAATGAAAATATTGCATTAGAACTGTTAAGGTTTGAGGAACCCCTTGACAATTCAACACCTCCAAGAGATCCGGCGAGCTAAATCTCCTGATATAATGATCCTAGTGGAGACTAAAAATGCTGTATCATATGTACAAAGTGTTTGTTCAACTCTTCAATATCCACATCAGTGTATTATCCCATCTCAAGGTACTAGTGGCGGCTGAGCTATCTTTTGGGATCACCATGGTCATATTCAAGTTTGTACTTCCTCGCTCAATTATTCTGATGTATATATCCGAGAAGGCTCCTATACTTACTGTATCAGTTATGTCTATGGTATTCCATCTAAGAGATTACGGCAAGGTTTTTGGCGGCATATGCAATGACGGTCACCATTGTATCATGTCACTCCCCGCCTGGTACTTGGTGATTTTAATGGTATCAGATCGAATGATAAGAAAGTTGGAGGTCCTCTGCGTTCTGAATCAAGCTTTGAAGTTTTTTGCAATATGATTGTCACTAATACTTTGCAAGATCTGTGTACTATTGGTGGCAGCTATATGTGGGTTGGTTCTAGATACACGCATGTGGTGCGAACGAAGATAGATCGTGATATGGCCAACACCTTATGGACAGATATGTTCCCCTGGGCGTATGCTCAGTTACTGCATTGGATGGGCTCTGATCATCGCCCTTTAATGGTTTATACGGACTTAAAGATCTGAAAAGCTAAGAAGTTTTTCAAATATGATAATCGTTGGCGTTTTGGTTTGCAAGTTAATGATGTTATATCAACCATATGGGAGGAAAAGTGCCAACATCTTCCACTGCAACAGTTTGGTAATGCTATTGTTCACTGTCGTAATGTACTGGCAAAGTGGAAAACAACTACGATTACAAACTCCAGCAAGCAGATACATGCATTAAAGCAGTCTCTTCATCATGCGTATAATTCTTCTACTCTGGATTTTCATTATCTAAGTTTTTAGCTTTTCTAAGGTTCTTTTTAAACAGCAGCTAATGTTTGCATATAGGTTGGAAGAGGAGTACTGGAAAGCTAAAAGTGGGGCACATTGGCTTAAGGCTGGGGATCGAAACACTAAATACTTTCATACCGAAACCAAGCAACGACGTTTCTACAATAAACTGGTTGTTGTGGAAGATGATGATGGCAGAATCACTGATCCGCAGAACATTCGCCGTACTGTTCAAGACTATTTCAACCATTTATATGCTTCACAACATACTCTGGTCGATCAGGATTTTCTAGCAGGTATTCCCTCCACAATTACTTATGCTATGAACCAATAGTTATTAGCACCAGTTACTAGGGAAGAGGTTAAGCAAGTTGTCTTTAGTATTTCTGCTTAAAAATCTTCTGGACCTGATGGAATGATTGGAATCATCGGAATACAGTTGCGGAGAGTGTCTATCAGTTTGTTAACAAATTTTTCCAGGATGGTTCTTTAGATTCCGAAATTAACCATACACATATCTGTCTTATTCTTAAAAAAGAATTGCCTACTTCTTTAAAGGATCATAAGCCTATTAGCTTATCCAATGTTGCCTACAAAATTCTTTCTAAGGTTTTAGCTAATAAGCTTAAGCCCTGCTTGAAAGATATTATTTCTGAGAATCAATCAACTATTATACCAGGGCGCCTTGTTACAGATAATATTCTCATTGCTCATGAGTTTCTACATTATTTACGAACCAAATGTTTAAAGCATCACTCTATGGCTCTTAAATTGGATATTTCTAAGGCTTTTGATAAAGTTGAATGAAGTTTTTTGGATGCAGTCATGGCTAAAATGGGCTTCCACTTGCAATGGAGGAAAAGGATTATGAGATGCCTGACTTATGTGTCCTATTCTGTGCTTATCAATGGTGAGCCCTCCCATCGGATCTATCCTCAACACGGTATTCGTCAAGGGGATCTCCTTTCTCCATATTTATATGTACTGAAGCTCTTTCTGCTCTTTTGACACGTTTGGCTCAACAGAAACGATTAATTGGCTATAAAGCTTCTCGAGGAGGTCCAATGCTTACCCATTTGATTTTTGGTGATGACTCTTAATTATTTTCAGGGGCCTCTGTTAGGGATGCTACCCTATTACAACGTGCTTTATCTATGTATGGTCAAGCATCAGGGCAGTATATCAACTACACCAAGTCGTCTATTATGTTTAGTAAAGGTACTCCTCACACTACCATCAATGCTATTTCTTAATTACTTCAAATTAAGCAAGTAGGTGGTTTTGGGAAATACTTAGGTGTGCCTGAGTCCTTAGGTAGAAGCCAAGCTGAAACTTTTGCTTATTTAAAACAGCGGATACATCAAAAGCTAGCTAGTTGGTATTCTAAGATGTTGTCCCTTGCAGGCAAAGAAGTGTTAATTAAGTCTGTCATTACTGAAATTCCTACTTACACTATAAGTTGTTTTCTTCTACCTCAAACACTTCTTAATAAAGTGATGGTTGATATTAAACATTTCTGGTGGTCCAATAACCCTGATAGAAGGAAGATCTCTATCCTGGAACAAACTAGTTGAGGAGAAATCTAAAGGAGGGTTAGGCTTTCGTGATTTTAAAGATTTCAACATTGCCTTATTAGCTAAGCAAGGTTGGCGCTTAATGACGCAGCCTGCCTCTTTATTAGCTCGGGTTTACCAAGCTAAATATTACCCATGATCTACCTTCCTTCAGGCTGTTCCCAAACAACAATCTCGTTATGCATGGAAGAGCCTTCTTAGTGCGCAAAATTTGTTAAAAACATGGCTAGTATGGAAAGTAGGAACGGGTAAGGACTTGAAGGTTTGGTCTGACCCTTGGCTGTCTTTGAACCCACCACAGCCGCCTATGCCAGTTCATACTGGATATTATCCCAAGTTTAAAATTTCTGATCTTTTTCTCTCAGGTACTCACCAATGGGATGATGACAAGCTCTCTTGCCTCTTTGCACCTTCCGATGTCCAAGAAATAGTGAAAATACGGCCTTCAATTACTAATGTAAGTGATTCACTTTCTTGGCTTCATACTTACATGGTTCTTATACTGTTAAGTCTGGGTATTCTATTCTAAGGGGAGTTACAAATGATCATTCTTCGCATACTGACACTCCTACTGTCTCTTTACCCCTATTTAAAACTATTTGGCGTACGCAAATCCTACCAAAACTTCAATTTTTTTTTGTGGAGAGTTCTTCATAATTGTTTACTTGTGGCTTCTCAGCTTTGCGCAAGAGGCATTCCTGCTGATGATGCATGCTTACTTTGTGGTCAGGAGAATGAAACGATTAATCATCTCCTCTTCCGGTGCCCCATCTCGCAAGAGGTATGGCATTTAGCTGTTTCCATTCTTTCTCAAAGTGTGTTTATGCCGTCATTGGATTTCTTGTCTACACTGATCACTTTGTTTCGTACTCTGTCTTCCCAGCAACAGAAAAGTACCTTATTTCTTTTTATAGGCTGGAAAATTTTGAAGGCCAGGAATCAACTACTTTTCCAGGGTAAATGTCGAAGTATTGTGCATATTATTAATAAAGCTTTTCAATATCATTACTTATGATATCAAGTCAATGTTGTTCATTCTCCGTCTATCCATGAGTTTTTTACGAGTCAAGCTGAAGTCTTGCTTCATTAACTTTGTAATACTTGTCTTTCTTACTGTTGTTTGGTTGCCGCCTATTGGACTGCATCTACTAAAACAGTTGGTGTAGCTTGGCAAATCTATACAAAGGAGGCCAAACTTATATTACAAGGTTCCTCTTCTCTAAAACGAATTTCAACTCCGCTGGAAGCAGAAGCTATAGCTTTGAAAATGGCTACTCAAGAGCTAACAAAGCTTAACTATACGACAGTGATGTTTCTTGGTGCTTGCTCACAATTATATTTCCAGCTTAGTAAATATTCTGAAGACATGGCGAATGTGGTTCAGTTTCAGTCCATTGCTATGGATGTCTGTGATATTATTAGTCTATCACAACAATCGGGTCACACTTTTCAAACATATTGTTGGATCTTTATTGTCTGATATAACTACTATAACTCAATAAAGTTGTGGGGTGTGGCCGAGTTCGCCCTAGTGAGAGAAAACTCTCTGCCTTCTCTCCTCTTTTTGTCCATCATATTCCACCGGTGATCGGCGTTGGGCTGCTCCTTTAGAGCCGACGCCGATCTGTCTCCTTCCTGTGCATTTGTTTTGGCTTTCTTTCTGGTTTTTTTCGGTGTCTTTTTGAGGTTTGGGTCCGATTGAAGTTGTAGTGTTGGGGGTAATTCTCGGTTTTTTGGTTCTTTCTTGAGCAGATCTGGGTGGTGTGAAGGTGGAAGAGTCAGATCTATTGTTTCTCCGGAGTGGAGAGGCCGTTTTTGTTGCTTTTCGTTTAGATCTCGCCCTGGTTTTGTGTGGCTCGCCGATTTTGGGCTTGGTCGGAGTGGGTGGCGTTTTTCGTTGGCATCATTTCGGTCAGGTTTCTCTTCTCAGCTATCTCCTTCCAGTCTGATTCCCTATATGGCTCGCTCTTTTGGCTCGTTACCGTGTCTAACAGAGGTGCAGCTGGTTTCTGGAGTTTGTTTTATGAGGTTATTCTTGCAGGTTCTGTTCCACTTTATTGAAGGTCGGTGGTCCGCTTTTCCATCGTTTTGTGCTTCTTCGTTTCTATTGCCATATTCTACGGAATGGTTAAGGTTTTGCTCTTGGTATTCTGTCCTTTGCTGGTGAGCATTGGTTCTTACGGATTTTTTTCAAGGCGTTTTCTGTCCTTCTGACATCGCCATTTTTGGGAGTTCAAGATGCAGCTCTTGCTTGCCGGATCATGAAGCTCTTGTTCTGTTTCTAACGTAAGAGGAAGCTTAGTTTCGTTGGGTGGCCTTTGGCAGCTTCGATACTATCAGATTTAGATTTTTCAGAAGTTTTAGAAGACGTACACGTTTAAGTCGTAATTGGTTTTCAGATTTTGCTACTGTTGTTTCTGTTCTATTATCGGTTTCTTGAGTTGTTCTTAATTTTTCATATTTGTATCCTACAAATGCATCCTACAAATGTATCTCTGCTTTTAGTTTAATAAAATTTTCACAAAAAAAAACTACTATAGCTAAAACTGCTTGTATTAATAAACAGCCTTATGTAATTCGTTACCTTTGTTTATCTATTATCATGTTTGCCGGAAAAAAAAGAGTATTGGGATTATGAAAAGTCATGATTTCTGTTGTAAACTAATGCTTTATAAAAAAAACAAAGAAGAGTTTAAGATCTTTTGAACTTCAGAGAGAAAGAGAGAAAATGAACATAAAAACTTCATTTCTTTCTTCTTCTGAACTTATGATTTACAAAGAATGAAGTTACCTATTTATAGGAAAAACCTTACTTCATAGTGAAGTAAAGTAATCTATAAAGACAAAACATATAGATAAACATTATTCAAAACATATGGATAAGCATTATCTAAATTTTATGGATAAACATTATCCTTTAATATGATAATGTATAAAGACAAAAGCATTGGATAATCATATCCATTTATAACACTCCCCCTTGATTATCCATCACTAATGATGTATTACGTACTGCCTCGTTAAAAACTTTATCATGGAAAAACCTGTGTGGGATAAAACCATGACAGGAAAAAGAGTGCAGTAGCTCTCCCCCTCGAAATGACGCATGAGTATCCATCGCTGTGAAGTTGCGTGCTGCCTAGTTAAAAACCTTTCCATGGAAAAACCCAATGGGATAAAAACCATGATAAACGGAAAAAGAGTACAGCAAAAGCAAACTCCCCCTGGAAAAGATGGATCTCATCCTCTCTTCACAAATCTCGTAGATGCCGCATTCCAATACTATGAACATGTTTCTTGAATGTTGTAGTAGGAAGCGCTTTTGTGAAGAGATCAGCTGCGTTGTCACTTGAACGAACATACTGAATATCCACTTCCTTTTTCTTCTCGAGCTCTTGAGTATATGAGAAAAATCTTGGAGGGATATGCTTTGTTCTATCGCTCTTGATATAACCTTCTTTAATTTGAGCGACACAAGCAGCATTGTCTTCAAACACTTTTGTTGGTTCTTTGTCTGTGATTATTCCGCTTGCTTCTTGTATGTGATGAGCTATCGGCCGAAGCCATACACATTCTCTGCATGCTTCATGAAGCGCAATAATCTCCGCATAGTTTGAAGAAGTCGCGACCAAAGTTTGCTTTTGAGATCGCCAAGAGATCGCAGTTCCACCAAATGTGAAAACATATCCAGTTTGCGACCGAGCTTTATGCGGATCAGACAGATATCCTGCATCTGCAAAACCAACTAGACCAACCTCGGGGTTTCTAGAATAATATAATCCAAATTCAATCGAACCTTGAAGATAACAGAATATATGTTTTATTCCATTCCAATGCCGGCGCGTCGGTGATGAACTATACCTTGCAAGTAAGTTAGTAGCAAAGGCTATATCTGGTCTAGTACAATTTGCAAGATACATAAGGGCACCGATAGCGCTCATATAAGGCACTTCAGGACCTAATATTTCTTCGTTACCTTCACATGGTCGAAATGGATCCTTGTCAACGTCAAGTGGTCTATTGACCATTGGAGTACTCAAAGGAGTCGCTTTATCCATACTAAAGCATTTCAACATCCTTCTGGTGTAATTTGATTGATGCACAAATATTCCATCTTGGAAATGCTCTATCTGGAGCCGTAGACAAAATTTTGTCTTTCCAAGATCTTTCATTTCGAACTCATCTTTCATATGAGCTCTAGCATCATCAATCTCCTTTTGAGTTCCAATCATGTTCAGGTCATCAACATATACATCAATGATCACAAATCCTGATACGGATTTCTTGATGAACACACAAGGGCATATCGCATTGTTGACGTAACATTTACTCAACAAATACTCACTTAAGCGATTATACCACATGCGTCCGGATTGCTTTAATCCGTAAAGAGATCGCTGTAGTTTGACCGAACATAGCTCTCTAGATGCTTTAGGCATCTTTGATCCTTGAAGGATCTTAAATCCTTCAGGGATTTTCATGTATATGTCACTCTCAAGTGAACCATATAGGTATGCAGTCACAACATCCATCAAGTACATCTCTAAATTATTAGAGGCCGCTAGGCTCATTAAGTACCTGAATGTGATTGCATCCATGACCGGGGAATATGTCTCTTCATAATCTAGTCCCGGTCTTTGAGAAAATCCTTGTGCCACAAGGCGAGCTTTATACCTTGTGACCTCATTTTTCTCATTTCTCTTTCTTACAAAGACCCATTTGTATCCGACCGGTATTACATCTTTAGGTGTAATAATTGTCGGTCTGAATACGTTCCGTTTATTAAGGGAGAATATCTCATCCCTCATGGCAACTTGCCATTTATCCCAGTCAGGCCTTCTTTAGCATTTTGACACGGAACTTGGATCTTGATCATCATTTTCATGATCGATCTCTTTGGAAACAGAAAAAGAGAACATTCCTTCATTATCTTCTATTTCACTTCTAGCCCATAATTTTCCACTTTGGGTGAAGGAGATGAAAATCTCATATTTTTCTGTTTCAGATTCGTCTTCAGGACAAACCTCTTTACCTAGTTCTTCAGGAACTGGTTCGGATATGTCTTCCGGACATATACCTTCATTTGGTTCTTCAGGAACCTTTTCACAAATGTCTTCAGGACATTTGGCTTTATTTGGTTCTTCCAGAACCTTTGCTTCCAATTTCTTTCTTTTTTGGGGATTTTTATCTTTTGATCCTACTGGCCTCCCGCGCTTTAACTGAACCGGTTCATTTGCTCTATTTACATCAATATGTTCTTCAGGAATATTTATCTTTGATGGAGCGTTAGCAGCGCGGATATAGGACTTTGTCACCCTTATTGTATCAGTGAATGCATCAGGTAACTGGTTTGCCAATCTTTGTATATGTATAATTTTCTGAACTTTCACCTCGCGTTGGTTTGTAGGAGGATCAAGATAAGCCAAAGTTTTTGTACACCATGTGATATCATTTGGTGATTCTCTCAATCCTCCCCCTAACGCAGAGAATTCACTTTCATCAAAGTGGCAATCGGCAAATCGTGCCGTGAACATATCACTAGTTACCGGCTCAAGATACCTAATTATACTTGGTGACGAATACCCGATATATATTCCCAATCTTCTTTGTGGTCCCATTTTTGTTCTTTGAGGTGGCGCTATAGGGACATAGACCGCACACCCAAACACACGAAGATGGGATACATCTAGCTTCTGGCCAAATGCTAACTGTATGGGGGAATATTTATTATACGCACTTGGTCTTACCTGGACCAATGCCCCAGCATGCAATATAGCATGTCTCCATACAGTGATTGGAAGCTTTGTTCTCAAGATTAACGGTCTTGCAATTAATTGCAACCGCTTAATCAATGACTCAGCCATGACATTTTGTGTATGAACATGCAGAATCGGATGTTCAACATCGATTCCCAAAGACATACAATAGTCATTAAAGGCCGCTGAAGTGAATTCACCAGCGTTATCAAGCCTGACTTTCTTTATGGCATAATCAGGGAAATGCGCTCTCAACCTGATTATTTGGGCAATGAATCTTGCGAAAGCCATATTTCTTGTGGTCAAAAGACACACATGTGACCATCTACTAGATGCATCAATCAATACCATGAAATATCTAAATGGCCCGCACGGTGGGTTAATCGGCCCACATATATCACCATGTATTCTCTATAAGAATACAGGGGATTCATTCCCAACTTTGGCTGGCGAGGGCCTATATATGAGTTTTCCTTGAGAACATGCCTTACATGAAAACTCCCCCGATTGAAAAATCTTCTGGTTTTTCAATGGGTGGCCACTCGAATTTTGCACAATCCTTCTCATCATGACTGAACCAGGATGGCCTAACCTTTCATGCCATACTCTGAAAGTGCTGGTAAACTTCTGGTTTACCGCAACATGTGAT